CCGAGACTTCCTCCATCGTTTCGGGTGAAATTTTTCTATTCTCTTTTGCTTAAATAAGGCTATTTCAGGGGTAAGATAGAGCCGGATAGTATTCATGCCTTACTTTTAACTTGAAAATTTGATAGGAATGAGTCCCAGCTCTAATGATGTCTATCGAATGATGGACGAAAGCTCAGCACGTTTTCACTTGAGACGAGGGAGGAAGTCTCGTGGACTGCGTCAACATGAAGATCGTATAAAAGCCAAACGGCTGCAGTACAACGAGATTCATCCGTTTTCATCTGGCAAGATCAACCAACGAATCTCTTCTTCATGCACTTTCATACGAAATGAAGGTCCCCCTAACAGATTATTGCACTTCTTTCTTGACTGCTTTTTAGAAAGACCAGGAAGATAGGGTGGAAGTGGAACTTGAGGAGGGAATTATACACTCTTTCCAGTCAGATTCTAATACGAGCTGTCTTCTTTAGGATGTAATTGTGTTGAGGAGAGAGGCCAACCGATCGACGAGATGGCGGCTTAAGAGATATTCGTCCGCAACGGCGAATGTAGGGAGTCTTGGTAGACAGTAGATATAAATAAAAACAGATTTTCGAAGTATCCCACACTAAAATGCTTTTGACGTACCTTTTATTCAGTTTAAAGAGGCGCATGAAAGTGATTCCTCACTTGGCCTACCTGGCAACAAACTGAGGATGTGTTTGCAGTTGCGCAATCCCGACGAGTCCGAACTGACTACTCGTTTGTCGTATAAGCGACATTCTCCGATACGGACAACATGCGCTACATTAATTCACTAAAAATGGATGCAATTCTGCCCAATTGTTAATGCCTGTCCTCGTTCCCTCAAAGAGACACCTCATGACTTGGTTAGCCATTTTATGCCTTAGCCACATCCTCGTCAAATGTTCACGTGGTTACGGTTGACTCGTGAAGGGGATGTCCTAGCGACCGGACATTTGCAGTACAAATTACACAATCACTTTCACTCTCGATCCTTTCATATTGACGCATGTAAGTGCACATGTCTCGTGTGTGCCTGCAATTCGCATGGGTCGTGTCACGTGCGCGATTCAGTACCAAATTCGAGGCAATAAAACAGTATCCTCCTCTGGCTTGGCCGTACCTCTTGCTTCCTCCTTCCTCTCTCTGTCTCTCTCGCCCCCTTTTTCAGCCCATCCAAGTCTCTCTGATATTCCTCGTACTTGCACAATCTGTACATGTCGCCAAGCGGTGGGCTTTAGACCAGTCCATCTGGTCGCCTCAGTGAGGCGTGTGTTCGTCCAGTTCTGATGCTTGAAATCGCAAACCTTCGCAACCTGTTTTATGTTCAGATAACCTCGTTGGGGAGACGTTAATTTCGTATAAAAGAGCATAAAGAAGAAGTCGGATGAATTCCGTTTCGTCCATCATTACATGGACATCATCATAGCTGGAACTCATTCTTGTCAGTGAAGAAGACCATCCGGCTCTATCCTACCTCTTATATGGATTTATAGGTAAAAACGAAAATGATTTGCCTAATTGTCTTTCATACTTATCCTACCACTTATGCTCAAGTGTGTGTGTGTGTGTGTGTGCATTAATGCCTATACGCAATGCCGGTCTTAAATGAGAGTGATAAAAAATGCAACCAACATCAAAACTTACTCATCTATCCTCCTCCAAAGTATCTACTCATCAATCAATTCCACAAACTCATTAGAATTTTTACCTGAATATAGCCGAAAATCCGCATCATTTCGTAGATGTATGCATAAAAACGTGACATTTTATGCATCAAGCTTCCTTTATCATTCACAATTAATCTTAAAGAGACTCACTTTGTATAAATCTTTTGGAGACTGTTAGCCTTAGGGACCCTTGCATCTCTCTGGAGTAGTGAATTCATTTACTACTTCTTCATTTCACCATTATTAACGCATACCTTCAGGTCATCCTTCAGCCTAGTCTTGATCCTTTCTGTTGGATCTCTCGGTACAAACCTAACCGTTTTAGTTTCAATTAAATGAACTAGCATTTCGTCTACATAACTTGACTTATCCATAACCACTGCCTCACATTTGTCGGCTTTCATAGCAATTAGGTTACTGCGATTTAAATGTACAGAAACCCTATTTAGAACACACAGAACAAAATTCAATCCTCTTTCCAATAAAAGTTGCCCACTATCCTCCAGGGTTGTACTGGATAAAGTAATTACTTTATCCTTACCGAATTTGTTAAAAACATGATTATTACGACTTACCTTAGGCTCATAGTTTCTCGATTTTATTCTAATTCCTAAATTCCTAAGTTTTTTATCATGTATTTGCTTAGTCATTCTATCTGTTTCCTCGCCTAACCCGTCAGCCATATCCTGTAACTAAAGGAAGTCCACATCATTCGGTACCTCAAAGGGATTTTCAAAGCCTGATTTGTGTTGCAATTAGTTCGTTTAGTCTGTTAATGCTTTTCGTTTGCCTTGTATGCATGGGTTGGCAGGCTTTAATCACGAAAAATTTCAGTAAAGCATGATTTCCATCTATGACGATTTCCGTCATTGAGATTGCGATGAAAGAGCGGCACAGCTTCATCGAGGCCTCGGAGAGATGTGCCAGGTTCTTATCCACACAATTATTTTGTCACAACTCCTGCAACTTATGGTGAGGCCAATTTACAAAAGCCTATCAATCGCTCCTTCAAAGGGAATCTTCAAAACTCAGCTAATTTTCACATCGACTTTCTGTGATTTTTCGCTGCCCAGCTCGAGTCATCATGTCACAGACCTTCTCCTTAATTTATTCAACTAAGAATTCCATTTAATCTAGATCTCATAAGATGAATAAAAACTAATGTTTGAAATAAATGGAATGTATTCACCCTATTTTGTTTAAGGTGTTGAAGGACTAGGAGTTGAATTCTTCCTCAATGATATGAATAGAGCTGATGTCAACATTCAATGTCACATAGTCTTGATTTCCCAAAAGGTGTCCGCATCCTGGCCTGAATGGACTGCAGTTTTTACGTCGCCTATGACAGTGCGGCGTGTAATTTCGATAAGTTAACCACTACGCCACATTGCCAAGAGTGCCCTTAGGCCACAGGGCAGATTTCAGCTATTTTCCAAAATCGCATTCTGTGGTGGGATTGTTGATGAAGCTAAAGTTGTATTTGCTATGACAATCGACTACATTACTTAATTTCTTTTCATCTTGAAATCCTATTTATAAATCATAGTTGAATTATCAGACAATGGAATTTACTCATAGTTTTGCAACCTACTCAAAAAACATATAAGTAGCGTAGTCGATTGCGATGGCAAAAGCCAGTTTCGAGACTACTAGTAGATGGACAATAAGAACTGTATGCAGCATACATTGCTAAAGGTGA